TGCAGCAGCAGAACTCCGCGTTGTTGTGACACATCGCAGTGCTGCTGGTACTTCGCCTACGAACCCACAGCAGTCGATACTGACACCGCTGACACCCAATGACACCTACTGACACCTCAACCCTTGCCCTAACTCACTTGTCTCATCCGTGTTGAGGATGCGTTCCGGCGGGAGCTTGGTCTCCTCCAGGTACTCCGCCCATGCTTTGTAGAAAGCTTGAAGGCGAGGCTCGCCGTCTTCGTTAATCCGGTTTGCTTCGTAGATGTGGGTGGCTCGCTCCGACAAACCCGGGTGTCTCGCCATAAACCCCTCAAGCCAGCTGTCCCCAGGGCCCTTGTCTGGGTCCCAGGGCACCTTGCGCCCGTCGGTGCAGATGTTGCGCACAGCGTCTCTCAGCTCCCTCCGACCCAACAGCAAGAAGTGTCGGGAGGCGTAGATCAAGACGTCTTCTACGAAATCTTCCTCCTCCTTGCTCAGGACAGTCCCGGGACCAACCCTCGCATCTATGGCCACCTTGTTCTTCACACGGTCGTGCAGCGAGGCTAGCGGTAACCCGTAGGTCCTCGCAGCAACGCGGAGCGACATCTCACCGCTGCGTACCGCATCTACAGCCTTCTGGGCCTGCTCTGGGTCTACTCTCTTACGTCCCATGCTTAGCAGCAGGACCCCGAAAAGGGCAAAGATGCCCCACATAAGGGGTGTGGGTGAGGGCTGTGCTGTATCTCGGGAGTGCTTGACCCGATCGACACGCGGAGGTGCTCAAACGAAAGCTAACGGAAAGCTGAAGATTTCAAAAAAAAAATTGGGGGGCTCCGCGCATTGTGCACCGAGGGACGTGCATTTGAAAAAAGTGTTCGTTAAAGGGGGGGTGTTCGTTAATACCCTGGTTTACTCTAATGATGAAAATGCTACTGTTGTAGTGGCTTCGAGTTCTGTTCACCTGTGTTGTCTGTCGTCTTCGAGGACATCTGATCTAATGCGAGCAATGAAGCCCGCACATCCACGGGCTCGCGACACAATTCACGCCTCCGCCGTTAATGTCTTCCACGTCTCGCCCGCAGGTGTGTTGAAGTGCTGTGTGTATGAAAACGCACAAGCATTGGCACACGGGAAAAAAGGAAAAAGGGCTGGAAAGGATGATATTTGCGCCGCATCTGCCGATTAAGGTTCTGGGTTCTCATCCTGAACCAACAACTGCGCGCGCGAAAGGCGAAAATTCGTACGGGGAGGGTGGGCATGTTGGCATGGAAAACGGCGGCGGCAGACCATCAGCTCCCTGCAGTGATATGTGGCATGGCGGGAAACAGGACGACGGTTGCATTGGAAGTGGACGGAGAAGAAACGTTGATGCTTCAATCAGGCGCTCCAGTGCTGTTGGGGCGGGGAGGCCACTGGCAAGTCTGTACCACGTGGATTATCATCGTATCGTGTCGTTGTTGCTTCCGAGGTTGTGCACGGCATTAGTGCATGCACACCGGCGTACGTCCCCAGTCAATATGCCCTGAATGACAGATGGGGTTGGTCGGTAGCACACGGCGGTTTAACGCGTTAGAGAGCAGTTGCCAGCATTTTTGTAAACACGCAGACACGGTAGAGCGAGCGCACAAGCAGTACGTGCGGTCGTGTCTAACATTCGTTTGAATGTTCACGTGGTCGTCTCGGACGTTGTAGACCTCGTCCCTTCGAGACAGCAGAGATTGGCGGTACATGAATGTGTTGCTCTGTCTCTCTCTCTCTCTCTCTCTCGCTCTGGGATGTGGTGTGAGGCCTGGGTATCAACTCACACAGTTCCAATACACTCATACTCCGTTCTTTTTTGTTGTGGAGGGCATTTGCGTACCCCTCTGGCCTGTGTATAAAGCTATAGAGCCAGTGTGGTTCTGCGGCACAGAGCCAGTGTGGTTTCACGGTTGATTTTGGCCAACGGTAGCATCGGCAGCACCGTCACGGCACTTCCCCGTGGCGAACACTCATGCAAGCTTCTGAGTGGGGAATACGTGGGACGCGGTCGATAGGAGCGTTGTGTGGACTCATCCGTTTGTGGCGATTCGGTGCTCAGGCCTGCTTGCGTGACCCACGGATGGACTGGTGGTGGTGTAGAAAGTGGGAAACAAACAATCGACAACACTCCCTCGGCTCCGCGCCCCTTCTGACAATACTGGCGATGGCTGCGTATCTCCCCATCCACCGTTTCGGGAAATGTGAGGATGCGAGGTCAATGCTCTAACGACTACGGCATGCACGGCCGGCTGTGAGGACCGTTTTGATCAATACCTGGTTTTATTTCTTGGCGATTCCATCTGAAATACTTCCAAGCGGCATCACTATTTAGCTTAGACGATGTAGCCATCCTACGGTGACCGCGACTCCCACCACTGTCTCCAACGACTTATCATCCCCCCACAGCTCGACGTTCCTGAGAAAGTACCTGACGGACGCGACGATCAGCCGCGAGCACGTCCGCGTGCAGGCCATCGCCTACAACGACGACAGCGGCGACGGCGGCAGCGAGCATGATGCTGCTGCTGCTCCGTCAAGGGTGCGCGTGTCGGTCGTTGGGTCTAATCCTGTGCTCCTCGTCCGCCGGAAGGTGTGTTTGTGGCTCTTGGGTACAACATCCGATGTGGGGGAAATGTGTGTGTGTGGGGGGTGTGTGTGCCCCCTCGAAGTGTTTTCCATTGAAATATGCCGAAACCCACCCGACGCGAAACATCTCTCTCACGTACAGCTAGCCGCACAGCAAAAGGTGGCGTATTGTGATGCCCGCTCAGGACACACACACACGCTTCGGTTCTCTACCTAGTCAAATGTCTTCAGAGCTGTCGTCGCATGCCCCTCCACCGACCCATTACTCATTGGAATTATAACTCCACGGGATTGCTGTTCCGGTCCTCTCCGTTCCGTCCCGTCCCAATCAACACCACAAGCCGCCGGGTGGGAAGAGCTACATTCACCGAGGACAGAGCGCCGTGGCCGGAGTCGGCGACGGCTTCAGGTTCTGCCGGGGATTCGACAAGGTCGTCCGGGTGGTGACGGTACCCCAGCCGCCGCCGCCGCTGAGCAGCAGCCAACAAGAACGAGCGGGGTCCCACGAAGAGGGAAACAGCGGCGACGACGGCGAGCGTGCGCGAGATCCAACCTCGAGTCGTAGCGCCGCTTGTGGTGTTGGAGGGGGCGCCAGAGAGGACGGCAGTAGACCCTCTGGCGGACTTGCCGGGGGTGCCGCTATCGCCGAGCGGCAACGTCGAGGTAGCGGCGAGAGCGAGAGCGACGTGCGACTAGGGGACGGCCAGGCCTCTGCTGCTGCTACTGCTGCTGCTGCGGGGGTGTCGCGGTGCACCGCCGAGGGAGCGGCAGCTTCTGTCGCGCCGGCGGCTACTGTTGCGATATCCGCGAAGCTGTCTGGTGATCAGGGCAAGCGTAGCGTGGAGGGGCGTGACGAGAGCGCCGGAGGACGATCGGATGACGGCGAGGAAGCCGAGAAATTGAATCATGAAGAAGAAGACCGGAGCGGAGGAGCCAGCGGTTTTTCGGCGACGGCTGGAAATGTTTCGGAGGGCGGGGGGGCGAAAGATACCCATGCGCCGATGCAAGAACAGGAGGAGGAGGAGGAGGAAGAGGAGGGGGACGGCAGCGATCGGCAGGATGGAGGTGACAGAAGGCGGAGGAGGGAGAAAGAACACCACCAGCGGAGGCGACGGCAACGGCAGGGCGGGGACAAACAAAGGGGTGGGGCAGGGGCGCAAGGATCCACCGACACCGCGTTGGCCTCCAGAAGCAGGGACGGTGTTTCTTCGTCCAGTCCTGTTGCTGCTGCTGCTGCTGCTGCAACTCTGCGTGTGGCGCTAGTCGGACGAGGGTTCTCGAAGAACCAGCAGGAGGTGTTCAGGAAAAACGGATCGAAGCTTGGCATGGAGGTTCTCGTGCGCCCTGAAGCCAAGGTAGGTGGTGCCTGTGTAGCAGCGTCACGTGCCGTAGGTGACGCAAGATGTACACCCCCTAAATAGTGATTTTCAAAGCACGATTTCTCCGCAGCAGAAAGAGTGGCGGTGCCGATAGTGGCTGCGTTAGAACCGTTCCGTGGAGCGCTGTCCGATGATGTATCCTTTGGATTGTGAATCCTACTCGTCCTGGAGCAGTTGAGCTCCTAAAATCGGTCCTGGCGGGGTTATATCTTGGGTCACCTACGGTGTGGGGGTGGAGGAGACAACCTCGATGCCTCCACCCGACTCTTAGAGGCGCCCGTACTACGTTGCAGCAAGAAGTGATTGTTGTCGACAAAGCGGTGACGCGTGATCGATGGTCAACATGGTACGGTAGGCAGCAAAAATACCCCACCGCCATTGGTCCTACAGCTAAGGCCGGCACAACCTAGGAG